GGGGCTGACGGAGGTGCCCCGGGACCTCCGCACCTGGCCCGTCTACGTGTAAGTCTGGGGCGCTCCCTGGTGGGGGGCGGGTCCCCCTCCCAAGCTTTCCTGGTGCTTTTCTTGTGTGGCCAAGGGGAGGGGGCGTCATAATTGTCCATGGGGTCCTGTAGCACCCTAGAGACTAGCCAGGACACAGATATAGCCGCATGGGCTTGCGTGGGCAAAGCCCACGTGGGTTGTGCCCGCCAACACCTATGCTGCTCCTGGGGCGCTCCCTGGTGGGGGGCGGGTCCCCCTCCCAAGCTTTCCTGGTGCTTTTCTTGTGTGGCCAAGGGGAGGGGGCGTCATAATTGTCCATGGGGTCCTGTAGCACCCTAGAGACTAGCCAGGACACAGATATAGCCGCATGGGCTTGCGTGGGCAAAGCCCACGTGGGTTGTGCCCGCCAACACCTATGCTGCTCTATCTTATGCATGTTAATCTCCAAGGTGCCACAGGACCACTCCTTGTGTTTTTTTTAAGTTACAGACTAACACCGCTCCCCCTCTGATAACTTTCTCTCTCTCTGCAGAGTCTGACTTGTCTCCCTCCCTTCCCCCTGTTTCCTGCTCTTTTGCCCTGTCTGCAGGTGATGAATTCATGGGTGCTGCTTTTCCCTTCAAACCTTCTGCACCCTCGCAGTCAAGGGGGAGTTTGGCCTCAGACTTGAGCGGGAGCAGGATCGGGCCCGATCCTGCCAAGATGCTGAGTACCTCCTTGAGAGCTCACTAGCAGTCAAGGGTTTGGGGACCTCCTTAGGCAGTCAGTCATCACAGGATCAAGCCCTTTACACTTCCCAGTTCGGTCCTAGCTCCCCCACCTCTTCAGGCCCCTAATCTCTAAGCAGTTACCCGTTTGGTGGCTCCCTTGAAGTTGAGGCGTGAGGGTCAGCACATGCCTAATGGCAGGGTCAGTGTCTTAGTGCTACGCTGACACTTCGTGCCAGTGACGAATAATAATAATCGTAGAAATTGTTGTCAGCCCTTGACCGAAGCCCCTTTTTTCTTATCTAGTCATTGTAGTTGGGTGCAGCATGGTAGCTGTAGCCATCCCAGGATTTAGAGAGACACGATGTGTAGGTAATGTGTTTTATTGGACCAACTTCTGTTAGAGATCCATGACTTCTCCCACCCCCAGAAGCTTGTCTCTCTCACCAATAGAAGTTGGTCCAATACTTTGTAGTATTTGGGAATCTGAGACATTTCAGTTGATGGTTGTATAACCACTTAAGGCCCGGAAGAAAACTTACTTAGTTAACAATAGATTCCTTTTAGTCCATGTGCTTATTGCTTTTTTTTTTCTGTATTGTCACGGGACTGGTTTTGGAAAAAGGGAGCACACAGTCTATCTTTGTGTTGATTTAAGAACTCTCCTGAGTTCCCACAGAGTGGTCAGCGGCATTTCCTACACATCGGACTGTGAAGGTGTTAAGGATAACAGAAGTAACTGTTGTAAAAATGACACAACACTATAAAGGCAAAGGAGAATAAGTTTGGGAAGGGATAGTTTAGTTGAGAGACTTTGCACTGCATGAAGGGGAGAGCGGTAATCTGACTAGGCCATATGGTTTTGAGCTCACTGATTTTTTTTTTTTTAAGCTGTTAGTGGTATGCTCGTTTTTTTTTTTATAATTTTTTTTTCTTCTAGTTTAATGGCACAGGCCTTCCCACCATATACATTTGAAATTGCCTCTTGCGCTTTTTTCCCTCACAGTGTTAAGTTACTTGACTGATCTCATGTTTCTCCCTCATTCAAAATGAAAATTGAAGAGAGGACAGAGAAAGAAAAAATTGCTGTGTAAGTTCTCTGTTTGAGGTGTACTTAGGCTGAGAAGGGTTTTACTTATTATCTGAATTGCTCCCTCTTCATGTAGCTATAGTTTTAATCCTGGATGAAAAAGGGTGAGAGGGATTTTTGTAAACACTATGATCTGGTGCAGATGAAGGCCAAATTTTCTAACTTGGGTGCTAAACTTAGGTACCTGATCCATATTCAGGCACCTCAATAAATGTCCTGATTTTCAAAAGTGTTGGACACCCACAAGCTCTTTTCATCATTTCTGCAAATCAGACCACTTATTGGCATGTGCAAATATGGTCTAGGTGCCTACATTCAGGTATTCAGCTTAGAAAAGTTCAGCTGAAGTTTTTATAGTGTAACGCTTAACCAGAATGCAGAAGAACCTAAATACATCTTTACTTCAAAAAGGCCAGATCACTGTTAAGGCTATGTAACTAGAGAGAGAACATTGATACTTTTGCCATTGGGACTTCTAGGTATCTGAACAGTTGTATACATTGTGTATATATATAATACTTATGGTGACAGCTGTCTTGGATATCTACCAGGAAAGAAAATGATTGCTGATATTTTGTGGAGGCCATTCAGTTTGTACTGAAGTAGAACTATTTTTCATTTTTGGGTTTCTCATTATGCATTTGTGAGCTATTGTCATGCTACCTGTTTTATATGAGATTATTTGAAGCTACTCTGAATTACCCTGGTCTTACTGAGTGCAGACTTTGGCCCTTTATTTTCAAAAGCAAAATAACTCCTCAGTTACACCTGTTACTCAGTGTGCAGTTGTACAGTGAAGAGTTCTGAGAGTTTCTAATCTCCTGGGGATTCTGAAATTATGCTCATGTTTCTTTTTAAACAAGACAGTTGACTTGCCCAACAATTGTATTAACTCATCTTAATTGAATTTACTCATTGTTTTAGCCTAGGAGTGTCATTTGTATGGAGAAGATTTTTATGTGGCTTGAGTTCTGTTTAAATTTTATTGATGAAGTAATCACACACAATCGCACATATTAATCCACTGCTTCATATTTGTTGATGAGTAATCTTTTCACCATTTACACAAAATCTGATTGGTCAGTTCAACTAAGTCTTCGGTTAATTTTGAATTTACAGTTGGAATTTAGCAATGACTTTTGTAGTGAATAACGCATCATTTTTGTTCACTGTCCTGTAAAATGTGAAGAGGCTGAGAAACTTAGATGCAGCACATGCTTTGCTGTCAAAGTTTTTTGTTGTTTCTAATGAAGGGCTTGTCTCCATTATAAGGTGGATTGATGCTGCATCAATTGATCTACTTACTGGTGGTCGATTTATCTCACCTGCTTAGATGCAATAAGTCGACCTCCGAGTGCTCTGCCATCGACTCTGCTACTCCACCAGGACGAGAAAAGTAGCTGGAGTTGATGGGAGAGCAGCTTCTGCCGGCCTTTAGATCAACGGCAGGGTGGGAGGCAGTGTAGACTAGGCTTAAAAGAATATGTATGTATGTATGTATGTATGTATTTATTTGACTTTGTAACAAAAAAACCAAGCCACCTATTTCTTTTCTTTTAGAATTTATATGATGGGTGCTTCTAGCATAGTACAAGCAAATAATAAAGAAAGCTCAGTCCTAAAGTACGAGTTAATTATCAGCCAGTATTTAATCTATATTTGATTTCTTCTTTAAAATAGCATGGAATGCTGGGAACAGTAATTGTCATATACAAAGGTACTACCTCATTTCTACACAGAGGAGGATTTTTAAAAGCATATAAAAGTTTTGGGAGCATGAATCTTACGGGCTTTCAGTGACGCCTGGTTCTTAAATCCATATAGCTGCCTTTGGAGCTATCCTTCCAAAAGTTTACTCTTTGTTTAGCCACAGGCACCAATTAGTGCTTGGAGTTCATTGCTACTGCATTGCAGATACATTTATAACAGTTTAAACAAATAGCCTGGCAGGGTCCACTTGTCATAGTTCTGAAACCAACTTTTTTAAGTTGTGTATTTGCTCAATAGGACTGTCAATGTTGAGGAAAAATGCATTGGCATCATTTGATTGTGCTGTTGTTTATGTTGCCATTAGCTGCTATAGTATTAAGAATTTTTGTTCAAAAGCAATAACTGAATTGAAGAAGAGCAATAAACGGTGGTCACTTAAAGTCAATGTAATACGGTACAGATGACTGTTTAAAAACTGGGCAGTGAAGTTTTGTGCATGAGAGAGAACGTGGTCCTCTCGTATCACAAGTTGTGTGTTGAGCTTCTAACTAGGAACAGCAATTGAGCCCAGAGGAAGTTGAAACCGTTCTGCATAACCCAGGCAGTCTGTTTAATAAACCACATCACTGAGCCACCATGCAAGCCTTGCAATGAACCAGCCGCAGCTTAGAAAAGTTCAGCATCTCTGGAAGGAGGTGAAAAAAATCTCAGTGCACTGAGTGATCGATTTGATATCTCTGCATGCCGGTGTTTTTGCTTTGAAGCCTCTCGAGCTGGTTAGACATCAAAAGACGGGAAATAAGTCTGATTTACATTAGAATATTATCTGTGGCACAAACTTCAGCGCTGAGCTTGGGAACAAAAAGCTTCATGCTCAGGAACGCCAGGTGCAAAGCTCTGAGGACATCAGAATGATTTTGGAGATTCAGCAAAGCTTTATGGTCATTAAAACAAAGTGCTCTCCTGTTTTTTCTTATTTTTTTTCTTATTTTTAAGAGTGGTAAAGAGCCAATTATCTTTTACTTATTTATGAAAAAAATAGTTTTTCCTCTTTATGAAGGTCTAGGGATGTAAGCCACTAGTCAAGTGGTCTTATTGAGTAGTAGAGTTGGTACTTGACTACGCCCGCTCCTTGCTGCTTCTATCAGAGTGGGGGGAGCAGGAGCTAGGGTAGGGAATAGCCAGTTCTCCCCAGCACCATCTTGGGAAGGGAGGGAATGCGGGGCGGGGGGGGGAGAGGCAAGGAAGGTAGAGGCACAGCACGGGGCCAAGCATGAACCAGGAATCAGCTGATTGCTGGCTTGTGCCTGGTCTCCTGCTGCACCTCAGCCTTTTAAATGTCATAAGAGCCAGGCAGCTCTTAGTCCAGGCTCGCACCATCCGGGGGAACTAGCTTGGCTCTTGCTACATTTGAACTGCAGAGCCACAGCGGGCAGAGTGAGGCCCCTCCCCACTTATCAGTAGTCAATGGAAATTCCATCGGCTACTCGATTAGTTGCTTATCTGCATTT